TCACCTCCTTGGTTAAATTTATTCCTAGGTATTTCATTATTTTTGGTGCAATTGTAAACAGGGTTGTTTTCTTAATTTCTCTTTCTGTTAATTTATTATTAGTGTATAGAAAATACAACAGATTTCTGTATATTAATTTTGTATCCTGCAACTTTACCAAATTTATTTATTAGATCTAATAGTTTTTTTGGTGGAGTCTCTAGGGTTTTCTATATATACTATCATGTCATCTGCCAACAGTGACAGTTTTACTTCTTTACCAATTCAGATGCTTTTTATTTCTTTTTCTTGTCTGACTGCTATAGTTTAGGACTTCCAGTACTAAGTTGAACACGAGTGGCAAGAGAGGGGACATCCTTACCTTATTCATGATCTTAGAGGAAAAAGCTTTTAGCTTTTTACTATTGAGCATGATGTTAGTTGTGGGTATGTAATTTATGCCCTTTATTATGTTCAGGTATGTTCCCTCTAACCCTACTTTGTTGAGAGTTTTCATCATAAATGGATGTTGAGTTTTATCTAATACTTTTTCTGCATCTGTTGAGATGATCGTAAGACTTGTATCCTTCATTTTATTAATGTGTGTTTCATGTTGATTGATTTGCTCATATTGAACCACTTTTGTGTCGTTGTAATAAATCCCACTTGATCATGGTATATGATCCTTTTAATGTATGTTGAATTAGGTTTGCTAATTATTGAGGACTTTCATTTATCTGGTATTTATAGCAGAAATATAGTAGTCTTAAAATGATTTGGGGTGATTTGAAAATTTTAAAAATGTATTGGAATGGTTTATTTAATATGGATATTTTCTGTTCTTTGAAGGTTTGCTGGAAATTGTCTTTAAAACTATTTGAAACTGATATTGTAGTGGGGGGAGAGGGCAGGGTGATTTTGCAGCTTCTCCATGTTTAAAGAGTAATATAATGTAGTGATTAAATAGTGTGCTATTTAATGCTGGCCAGGAGGGAAGGTTGGAGCTCAGGGGATAGGTAGGAAGTTTGGGGAAGGGTGCTCTGAACCCTAGCTCTGCCACTACATAGATGTAAAATGTGTCCCCTCAGGATTTTAAAGATATTTTCTTACAGATCATGAGGTCTACCATACGGTCTGGTGAAGTATATATTTTATCAGTATGAAATGACCTACGTTCTTTGTAATGCTTTTCAACATCTATTTGCTTCTAATTTTAGGTTTGCTACAAAGCATTCTTTGCATTTGTTTAGTGTGTCTTTTCCAATCCCTTTATTTTCAGTCTTCTTGAGCTGTTTAATTTTTTATATGCCCCTTATAAATAGAATATAATGTATATAAAAATTAACCCAGGTGGATTAAAGTCTTGAATGTAAGACCTGAAACCATAAAATTCCTAGAAGAAAACATAAGTGGTAACCTCCTTGATACTGGTCTTGGTGTTGAATTTTTGTATTTGATCCAAAAGCCAAGGCAACAAAAGCAAAAATAAACAGATGGTATACATCAAATTAAAAAGCTTCTTCACAGCAGGGGCGCCTGGGTGGCTCAGCCGTTAAGCATCTGCCTTCGGCTCAGGTCATGATCTCAGGGTCCTGGGATCGAGCCCCGCATCGGGCTTCCTGCTCGGCGGGAAGCCTGCTTCTCCCTCTCCCACTCCCCCTGCTTGTGTTCCCTCTCTCGCTGTGTCTCTCTCTGTCAAATAAATAAATCTTTAAAAAAAAAAAAAAGCTTCTGCACAGCAAAGGAAACCATCAATCAACAAAATGAGAAGGCAGCCTGCTGAATGGGAGAAAATATTTGCAAATCATATATTCGATAAGGGGTTAATATCTAAAATACATAAAGAACTCTACTCAATAGCAAAAAACCAATATGATTTAAAAATTGGCAGAGGCTCTAAATAGACATTTTTCCCAAAAATGACATACAGATGGCCAACAAACTCATGAAAAGATGCTCAACATCACTAATTATCAGGGAAATGCAAATCCAAACCTCAAAGAAATATCACCTCACACCTGTCAGAATGACTAATACCAAAAAGACAAGAAATTGCAAGTGTTGGTGAGGATGTGCAGAAAAGGGAACACTTGTGCACTATTAATAGGAATATAAATTGGTGCAGCCACTATTTAAAACAGTATGGAGGTTCCTCAAAAAATTAAAAATAGAGCTACCATATATATGATCCAGCAATTCTACTTCTGAGTATTTATCTGAAGAAAACAAACATGCTAATTTGAAAAGATATATTGGGGTGCCTGGGTGGCTCAATCAGTTAAGCGGTTGCCTTCAGCTCAGGTCATAATCCCAAGGTCCTGGGATCGAGCCCCATGTTGGGCTCTCAACTCAGCAGGAGGCCTGCTTCTCCCTCTCCTTCTGCTGCTGCTCCCCCTGCGTGTGCCCTCTCTCTCTCTGTCAAATAAATAAATAAAATCTTTTTAAAAAAAGAAAGAAAAAAGAAAAGATATATTCACTCCTATGTTCCTTGCAGTATTATTTACAAAAGCCAAGATAGGGAAACAACCTAAGTGTCTACTGATAGATTAATAGATAAAGAACATATGACATATGATATATATTATATAATATAATAAATTTGACATGTATAGTATATAATATATAATATAATACTACTCAGCCATGAAAAAGAAGGAAATCTTGCCATTTGTGACAATGTGGATGGACCTCAAGAGTATTATGCTAAGTGAAATAAGTCAGACAGAAAAAACCAAATACCATATGATTTCACTTATATGTGGAATCTACAAAACAAAACAAAGAAACAAAAAAAACCCCTCATAAATACAGAGAGAAGATTTGTGATTATTAGAGGGGGTTGAGGGTAGGCAAAATGGATGATTGGGACAATTGTATGGTGATGAATAGTAACTAAACTTATTGTGGTGAGTTTGTCGTGTATATAAATATCAAATTATTGTGTTGTATACCTTAAATTATGAAATATCATATACCAATTTTACATCAATAAAAAATACATATAGCTGAATTTTATTTCCTATCCAATATACATATTCTTATATTTTATGTCAGTTTATTCCATTAATGTTTATTTCAATCACTACTATGTTTATATTTATTCTTACTGTCTTAGTTATTACTCAATATTTACAAGAATTTCTTCTTATTCTCTCACCCTCTTTCTTACCTGTTTTTGGATTGATTGCATTTCCTTTGTTCCATATTTTTTCCTCCAATACATTGGAAGTACTGCCTTTTTTTTTTAGTTGAAATTCAATTGTTAATAAACATACTTAGTCTTATATTATACTCTCAATGTCTGGAGTTATTTGATATCTTTTCCTAAGCTAAAAACTGGAACTTGATTTTCTTTTTCTCATCTCTCTTCCTATGCCCTCCATGAACTTTTTGAGTCTGAAAATGTCTTCATTGTACTTTTATACATAAATGAACATTTGGACATATTTAGAATTAAGGTTTAAAATGGTTTTTCACTTAAAATTTTGGACATTTTTCTTCATTGTTTTCCTGCATTCAGTGTTGCATATGAAAATTCCAACTTCCATCAGATTTTCACTCCTTGTGGGTAAGTTGCTTTTCTTTCTGGAACCATTATGATTTGTTATCCTTGATGTTCTAGATTTCACCATAATACATCTAGGTATGGGTTTTAAATATTCATTTTCTGCCCTTGAAGAGCCTTTTTAATATTAAAGTTCTAGCTTTCTCTGACTGACTTATTTCATTTGGCATAATATTCTCTATCTCCATTCATGTTGTAGCAAATGGCAAGATTTTATTGTTTTTTTTATGGCTGAGTAATATTTCATTATATATGTCACACCCTCTTTATCCATTCATCAGAAGATGGACGTTTGGGCTCTTCCCATAATCTGGCTGTTGTTGATAATGCACAGAGAAAGACAAATCATATGATTTCACTCATATGTGGAATTTAAGAAACAAAACAAATGAACATGGTGGGGGGGATAAAAGGAGAGGAAAACCAAGAAACAGACTCTTAACTATAAAGAATAAACTGGTGGTTAAGTGGGGGACAGTGGGGGAGGATGAATTAACTAGGTGAAGGGGATTAAGGAGGGCATTTGTTGTGATGAGCACTGGGCATTGTATGAAAGTGCTGAATCACCAAATTCTACACCTGAAACTAATGTATGTTAACTAACTGGAATTTAAACAAAAACTTTTTTAAAAAGTTCTAGCTTGCATTCTGAAAATCGTTTTTCCTCTTTTTATTTGATTTTTTTTTTGTTCTCATTCTTTTTCCTCTCCTTCTAAAATTCCCTTTGGCAGAAAGTCAAAACATCAGATTACACAATATATCTTATTTTTTTCAGTTTCCACATCTTTTTTCTTACATTCCAGAAAAAAAAAGTAACTAATTAACTTTTTGACTGAGTCCGTTCAACTGTTAACATGCCTACTTTTATTTTTTAAAAGGTTTAATGAGGTATAATTTACATACTATAAAATTCACCTGTTTTAAGTGTACAATTCAATGATTTTTAGCAAATTTATAGAGTTCGGCAACTATCACCACAATCCAAGTTTAGAACATTTCATTACCTCACAGAGTTTGCTCATGGTTGTTTATAGTCAGTCCCTATTCCTATCCCCTAGCCCCAGGTAACTACTAATCTACTTTCTGTCTCTGTAGATTCATTTTTTCTGGACATTTCATATAGATGGAACCATATCATATGTGGTCTTGCACATCTGACTTCTTTCACTGAGCATAACATTCTTGAGGTTCATTCATGTTGTAGCGTGTGTTCATGTTTTGTTCCTTGTTATTGCTGAGTAATACTCCATTGGATGGACCTACCACATTTTATTTATCCATTTACCTGTTAATGGACATTGGATTTTTTCTACTTCTTGGCTATTATGGAAAATGCTTCCATGAATATTTGCATATTTGTATGAACAGGTTTTCATTTCTAGGTTGATACTTAGGAGTGGAATTTTTGGGTCATATGGTAATGTTATGCTTAACTTTTTAAAAACCTATCTTACAGTGTTTCCAAAGATTCCCACGAGCAGTGTATAAGCGTTCCAGTTTTTCCACAATCTTGCTAACTATGTCTTTGATTATAGCCAATCCAGTAAGTATACATTGGTATCTCATTTTGGTTTTAATTTGCTTTTTCCTAGTTACAAATGATGTTGGACATCTTGTTATGTGTTTGTTACCTTCCACATATCTTTTTGAAGAAATAGCTATTCAAATCGTTAGCCAATCATTTAATTGGGTTGTCTATTGAGTTGTAGGAATTCTTAATATATCTGTGTACGAGTCATTCATTAGAAATATGATTGGCTAATATTTTCTCCCACTCTGAGACTAGTCTTTTATTTTCTTAATGGTGTCTTTTGAAGCACAAATGACTTAAGTTATTTGAATTCCAATTTATCAATTTATTCTTTTTATGGATAGTGCTTTTGGGTTTTTTTTAAAAGATTTTATTTGTTTATTTATTTGAGCGAGAGTAAGAGTGAGAGAGATCACAGAAGGAGAGGGAGAAGCAGACTCCCCACTGATCAGAGAGCCCAACTAAGGGCTCGATCCCAGGACCCTGGGATCATGACCTGAGCTGAAAGCAGATGCTTAACCCACTGAGCCACCCAGGCTCCCCTGGATCATGTTTTTTGATATTGTAGCTACCTTTTAGTCTAACCCAAAATCACAAATATTTTCTATCTATTCTTTGAAAAGCTTTATCATTATCTCTTGTACACAGGATACTACATAATCTGTGGGACCCAGTGAAAAATGAAAGTGGAGGGACCCTTGTTCAAAAATCATTATGAATTTCATAACAGTGAAAGCAAGGCATTAAACCAAGTACAGGGCCTTGTGTGACTGCATAAGATGCATGCCTCTGAATTTGGCTCTTATATTTAGATCTATGATCCCTTTTGAGTTGATTTTTGTCTAGGTGTGAGGTGAGGGTATAAATTAATCTTTCTGTATGTGGATATTTAAGTATCCTAGCACCATTTGTCGAAAAGACTTTTCTCATTGAATTGCCTTGGTACTTTGAAAATCAATTATAAGGGTTTATTTTTCACTCTCAATTCTAGTCCATTGATAGATGTATCTATTTTTATGCTAGTGCTGTAACTGTCTTGATTAATGTGGCTTTATAATAAGCTTCGAATTCAGGAAGTATAAATCCTTCAACTCTGTTCCTCAAGACTATTTTAGCTATTCTGTATCCTTTGTATTTTCACATAAATTTTTGGATCAACTTCTCAGTTTCTGGAAAAAATCTTGCTGGGATTTTGATAGGAATTTCACTGAATCTGTAGATCAATTAGGGGAGAATTGCTATCTTAAAAATATTGAGTTTTCCAATCCATGAACATGGAATGTTTCTATTTATTTTGATCTTTAATTTTTTAGAACACTTTATTTATTTGAGAGAGAGAGAGAGCTCACACAAGGGGGGGAGGGGCACAAGGAGAGGAAGAAGCAGACTCCCTGATGAGCAGGGAGCCTGACATAGGGTTCAATCCCAGGACCCTGGGACCATGACCTGAGTTGAAGGCACACTTAACCAATGGAGCCACCCAGGCGCCCCTGATCTTTAATTTCTTTTAGCAATGCTCTGTAGTTTTCAGCATATAAGACTTGCTTTTTGTTAAATTTATTCCTAAATATTTAATTCTTTTGCCTACCTTTATTTTTTAATTTGAAAACTCAACTTTTAAATTTCCAAATTTCCTGGTTGTTTTATAGACACAATATTATCTCATAAGCTGTGGGAGTATGAAATATACTTACTCTTTATAAGGTCTTGCTTTGTTGGCTCTATTATTCATATTTCCTCTGATGTTACCAAAAAAACAGTAAAGAAGGATGTGAAAGGACCTGGGTGGAACCCTGATGCTCTTCACTAAGCCAATGTTAACAGCCTGGGGTATTTCCTTTCCCAAACTTTACACACAAATGCAAGATTTTTATTACTTTAATTTGTATAAAAATGGAATCATAATATATTAATCTGAACTTGATGTTTTTATTTATCAATAAAACTACGCCCTTCCACCCAATTACTAGAAATAAATAACTACATACTATTCCAACAGTATGGATTTGCTATAATCTCTGCAACCATTCAGCTGAATGGACAATCAAGTTGTTTTCAGGTTTGGGGGGTCTTACTAATTCCCTTTTAAAATAATTTAGGGATATATTTATATGCTTTTTTCCTCCTTTTGTTTGTTGATGTACTAAATTATCTAAAGAGATTTCCTAATGTTGAACCATCTTTACTCATTTATTATTTAACTTTTCTTCCTCTTTTTTTTCCTTAGTATGATGGTTTCATGATTTTTAGGCTAAAATTTTTTATTATTGATCTTTTTATTAATTGAAGTATAATTAACATACAATTTTATATTAGTTTCAGGCATATGGTGTATTGGTTCAACAATTCTATACATTATTCAGTGTTCATCACGATAAGTGTAGTCGTCATGTGTTACCATATAACATTATTACAATATTACTGACTGTATTCCCTTTGCTGTACTTTTCCTCTCCGTGACTTATTTATTTTATAACTGGAAGTTTGTACCTCTTAATCCCCTTTACCTATTTCACCCATTCCATCATCTACCTCCCCCTGGCAACCACCAATTTGTTCTCTGAATTTAAAAGTCTGATTTTTTGTTTCGCTTTGTTTTTTAGATTCCACATATAAGTGAAATCATTTGGTACTTGTATTTTTCTGTCTGACTTATTTCACTTAGCATAATACTCTCATCAACATGAATGAACCTAGAGAACCAACATTTAAAAGAATGACAAGATCTCATTCTTTTAAAAATTAAAAATAGAAATACCACATGATCCAGTAATTCCACTACTGAGTATTTACCCAAAGAAAACAAAAACACTAATTCAAAAAGATAAATGCACCCCTACATTTATTGCAGCATTATTTATAATAGTCAAGATATGGAAGCAGCCCAAGTGTCCATTGATAGATGAATGGATAAATAAGATGTGGTGAATATTTACAATGGAATATTACTCCTCCTCTATTTCTGAAATAGTCTCTAACCACAAGATCTATATTATCTTTGATCCAACACATTACTTGTTGTTTTCTTTTGTAAAATCTGTGGATGGTTTATTTTCTTTAACCTGCAGCCTGTTCAGCATCTACTTATAATTTATTGAGACTTCTTTTGTGGCCAAGATTATGATTGGCCACAATCATACACATTTGTGTACACATACACATACACAATCAATACAGATTGATACACATTTCACAGACTGGGAAAAAATGGTGTGTTCCTTGTTTTTAGGTCACAAGATTAAAGGATAAATTATTCTTGCTAATTTATCCAGAGCCTGTATACTTTTCAAATATTTTATTTATTTATTATGAGAGAGAGAGAGAAAGAGCTGGGGGGAGGGGCAGAGGGAGAAGGAGCGAGAGAATCTCAAGCAGACTCCCCGGTGAGCACAGAGCCCTACTCAAGGCTCAATCCCACTACCCTGAGATCATGACCTGAGCCAAAATCAAGAGTCGGATGCTTAGCCAACTGAGCCACCCAGGAGCCTCCAGAGCATGTATTTTTTGATCATTTTTTGAATATGTGAAGAGTCAAAAACTAGAGGTGAAATGTTTTTCAACATCCATAAAACATTTGTTCCATTATCTGTTTCTTGATTTTTGCTTTGATATGGTTATGAATACCCTTATTTTTTGTTTTGTTTACATTTGAATACCATAATTTGCCTATCTTTGATTTTAACAGGTTTTGTGTCACTTTGTCTTTTTTGTGTCTCTTCTTGGATTCCATTTTTCATCTGTGCCTTTCAATATCATCTATCTTTTTTTGCATTTCCATTTAATATTTTAAATAATATATTTTCATATGTGTATTTTTTCTTTTAACTTTTTTTTTAAAGATTTATTTATTTATTTATTTGACAGAGAGACAGTGAGAGAGGGAACACAAGCAGGGGGAGTGGGAGAGGGAGAAGAAGGCCTCCCTCAGAGCAGGGAGCCCAATGTGGGGCTCGATCCCAGCACCCTGGGATCATGACCTGAGCCAAAGGCAGACGCTCAACAACTGAGCCACCCACGCACCCCTCTGTTTTAACTTTTAGAACTCCTCTCCTATTGTTTTCCTTGTTTTTTCTTTCAAAAAAATGCAAGCTATGTTTTCTTTTTATTCTATTTTATAGCATTTCATAGGGTTTTATAGAGTCTGATTTCAGTAAACCTGTGATTTCTAGAATAATTTTCTGCATATAGACCCTGTACATATTTTGTTAGATTAATACCTAAGTATTTCACATTTTTTGTGCTATTGTAAATGATAATGTTTTATTTTATTTCAAATTCTAATTTTTCAATGCTGGTATATACAAAATCAATAGATCATTGTATATTAACCTTGTGTCCAATGACCTTGCTATAGTTACCTATTCAAGGAGATTTTTTTTTTTTTTGGTAATTATTTGAGATTTTCTACATAGACAATTATTTAATTTGCAAATAAAAACAATTTTATTTCTTCCTTCCCAAATTCTAATGTTAATTTTTTTTGATTTTTTTTTTTTTCACTAACTGCCTTCTAGTAAGATGTTGAATAGGAGTAGTAAAAGGGACATCTTTGCCATGTTCCTGATCTTAGGGGAAACTGTACAGTTCTCTGCAGTATAACATTAGCTATAGGGTTTTTTGAAAATGTTCGTCCTCAAGTTAAAGAAGTTCCTCTCTATTTTTAGTTTGCTGAGAGTTTTTACATGAATGGGTGTTGGATTTTGTCAAGTGACTTTTCTGCATCAATTGATATCATTCAGATTTTCTTCTTTAGCCTGCTGACATGGTAGATTACACTGATTGATTTTGAATATTGAATGGAGACTTGCATATATAGAATACATTCCACTTGATCATGATGTATAATTTTTTTACATTGTTGGATGAGATTTGCTAATATTTTCTTGAAGACTTTTGTATATATATTCTGAGAGATATTGGTCTATAGTTTGTCTTTATCTGCTTTTGATATTATGATAATGCTGGGCTCATAGAAGGAATTAAGAAGTGTTCCCTCTATTTTCTGGACAAGA